GTGCTACAGATAGTGGCCCAGGTGGAGCTGGTTTACTTCTGTGTCCATGGAGGTACATGAGAATACAAACAGATGGTCCAGAACCCTAGGCTGGCGGAGAAAAGAGGTTGCTGCTGCAGATTGAGTGTCTGAGGATAGGCATATGCCAAGAGACTCATAGATACTTCAGTAGGTTTTTGGCAAGAAACAACAGGATCAAAAACACCGTGGTGAAATTTCTAAGTGTGCTTTCTTGTCCTGGGAGGGCTGTAGACACAGCAATGTCTAGTGGGTATGTTTGTGAGTGGGTGAAAACCCTGTGTTGGCAGCTGTGGGAAAAGAGGTTCTGCTATCAGAACTCCTTTCTTCTAAGTTTTCACCTGTCTCTCACCCTGAGAGAAGACCTGGAATCACAGGACAATGGTGTGAGACAGCCTGTGTAGAGGAAACTAAAGTCTCCATTCCCAGACACCCAGAGTTTTACTCCAAGACAGGCCAGGCCAGACCTCTGTGATATCTTTATTTTGGCATCGATTCTGTAAAGTTTGCTAAACATCAAGCATTTCTCCAACACCAACTCATTGTCTGATATTTTAATTCTGACACCACCCAGAGTCAGCACAGATTCTCATTCAGGGCTCAGTCCCACAACATTGTCCTTACTGCAGATGTCAGTCACAAACCTCATGGGCTCATCTATATTTCTAATTTACTATTTAAAACTTGGAGATTTTAATAATCTCCCTCAAGTACAGTAATTTGATAGAGCTACTCACAGAACTCAGAAAAACACTCTATTTATGTTTACCAGTTTATTTTAAAAGATACAACCCAGGACAAGTGAAATGGAATAAATGTATAGAAGAAATAAAAAGATGGTCAGAAATGAAGCATATAGATAATCCAGGTGAATAGCTGTGATTAATAAAATTCTCCTTCTCTGTGTTCTCCAGGAACAATTCATGGAAACACCCTTCCCATTATGACTTAGAAGGCGCTCTCTTTTCTTACCTTTCACATAGCCAGACACAGGGTATCCATATTTTCTTCTGTTTTTCATTAAAAAAAAAAAAAATCAGCTGAATTCGTCTTCAGTGATCAAAATAAAATACTTCTTAATCAAACTTTACTCAAGTTTATCTCCTTTCCACAGACACCTGGACTTTGAGCTATCCTCAGTCTGACCAACATATAAATGTATGTTCTGTTTCTCCTAAGAATATGCTGACTTCAGGGTAAAACACTCTCTGACCTAAAATCTGATTATTCAGACTCCATTTCCCATTCCCCTTGAACCTTCTTTTTAATTGGCTTTGCTCCTCCCTATGAAAGAAAGCCCTTGTCTGCCTAAATTGTGCAATATTTATAGATCTTATAGTTGGTACTTCCTCCTGTTGCAATATTCGTCTGGAATTCAATTTTTATTTTTTACTTAAATCTAACTGCTATATTTTACGAAATCTAGAAACTACCTCAAAACAGTAACAACTTCATCTTCAGTAAGACTCTCCCAGTCCCCTTCCATCTGCCTGTGGACCCCCAGCTCTCCAGGACTCTGAAGCTTCCCTCAGTATAAACACTTCTTCCATGGCTGAGGTGAGCAGGCTGAGACACCTGCACAGGAGGCTACTCAGAAAAAACTAATTGGACCTTTAATAACCTCTTTATGCAGGTTCACTGTTAGCCTTAGCTCAGAGTCACTGGGCTCAGGCTTTAATTTTCATCTCAGTTATTCACTTGGCTTTTGAAACTGTGTGCAAAATTTAGCAAAATTACTCAAATACAGTATTAACATAAGGGAAGGAAATTTTAAGCTGTCTACATTTCATACCTGGATAATAAAAGTAAAAGCATCTATTACTTTCAAACAATAAATGTATTATTGGATTATTTTAATTAAAAATCATGTAGTAAATTAGTCACATGGTAACATTTCTAAGGCAACAAAAATTTAGCATGAAACTTAGATATCAAGGTAATGACATAGAGAACAGGGATAGTCACTGTCACAAATGTACCTAGCAAAAAGAGGACCTAATGTTTTCATGAATCTATTTAACTCACCAGTTATCTATCACATTTTCTTGTGGAAAGGTATTCATTTTCTACAGCCAAAATGGAAGAGAGATTTCTCCTATTCTTTTCCTTCATAGCTAGCATTCTGAAAGCTAAGCCTTGAAATGCTGTTTGAAATCACCAACCCATAAAAAATTCACCTGAGAAAATTTCAAAACTCATATTGGGAAAGAAAAAGGTAAATGAGAATTTTTAACATATGAAATATATAATTAGATATATTTTTTTGTTTATGAAAGCCACCTCTTTTATGCCCTTTGCAAATTTCTTTTTTTCCTTTCAAGCCCTACTAATAAAATGCAACTTACAATTAAAAACTGAGGTCCAAATAAGTGAACAATCTTTTAAAAGGTGACAAACCCAGAGAGTGTCAGTGCTGATTAAAAAACAAATTTGCCTTACTTATGGTATCAAGTGAGGCCATTTAATCACTTGAGAGACTCTCCATCCCATCCTGCTCACTTAAATGGTCAATAACCACTTGATGAGGAGATGCTGTACTATGTGTGCCTCAGTGAGTGCATCAGATACGTTTCACTTTGCAAGTTTTTATACTATCTCACTGGAGTCAGGCTGTTTCTGACTTTTGGGATGTCTTTTTTTTTTCCACAAAATTTTAAAATATTTTTCTTTATATTTATTGCACTATTTTTCTGCCCCCTTAAAAAATCCAGGGGGCAGAAATTATTTCTATGTTTTTTCCTCAATACTAGCATCTGATTTGCAGACCAGCAATGTGTCCCCAAGAAATGGAAGTAGGGTTGGGTAAAGACAGTTTTAATGTCTCAAACTGAATACATCAGGAGATTCCTGTCAGCCCCACAGCCTCCATCTTCTTCCTTGAGAGGTTACATTCCATGCCTCAGGTTGTCCTATGAAAGAAAATAACCCAGGAGCTGATATTCACTAGACACTCCAGTAGACATAACCAGGTCGGGTATCTTCATTTATCCCAAAACAGTACTGAAACCCAAGACCAGGGTGGCTGAGGACAAATAACCCCAAAATTTTTTGAAGGGAATCCCTGACCCAAAAACATTTTGATAAGACTTCTGTACCCCGAGAAGATAAAAAGAAAAGAGGAACTTAAAAAAACAATACAATGTCAGGGGATTATTCTTTACTTTCTTCTCAGGGGAAGTATTTTTCAAGGTGAAAACACATCTTTGTAAAAGTCCCATCCAATTATTTGTCAAAAAAAAAATGGCCATGTGCAGTAGCTCACCCCTGTAATCACAGCACTTTGAGGCTGAGATGTGCAAATGACCTGAGGTCAAGAATTTGAGATCAGCCTGGCTAACATGGTGAAACCCCGGCTCTACTAAAAGTACTATTAGCCAGGTGTGACGATGCGCACCTGTAATCTCAGCTATTCAAGAGACTGAGGCAGGATAATCACTTGAACCTGGGAGGCAAAGGCTGCAGTGAACCGAGATTGCTCCACTGCACTCCAGCATGGGTGAAAAAGTGAGATAACATTCTAATTTTTTAGAATGATTAATGAAAATCTGGTATGCAAAATGTACACTAAAGGGCAAACAGCTGATAATGTGAATTAGGGAGGGGAAATTTGCATTTGGGAATGTCAAAAATAATTGGAAATGTTAGTACTTTACTGCAAGCTAGAGTTAGGATGAAGGAATGCAAGGTGGGAGTGGAGGGTAGACTTTAGAGGTTGCTTGGGATACTTGTGAAAAACGCAGGGGAAAATTATTCCCCAGTGGTGTGTGAAAATAACTAAGTAGCAGGCAATGAAACTGATGTGGCTCTCGTCTGGATTTTTCACTTAAAAAAAAAAAATCTAACTCAAGTGCATTTTTTTTTTTTTTTGGTAAATTACTACAGTGGGGAAAAAAAATCAGACTTACCAACTATAAACCATCAATTTACCTCTGATTGCATAACCAGGAAATTTAGAAGCTCAAGCGGAAATTAAGTGTCAGATCTCCATATGCAAGCCTGGAGCCTTAATGTCAGGTTTCATATGCAAGCCAGGAGCCCGAAAGTCTGAAGTCCTGCCTGCTCAGGCTGATGTCTCCCACCCTCCGCCTGCGTTCCCCATCATCTCTAATCGCCATCGGAGCCTCCCGGACAAGCCCCTCACCCAACCCTGCAATCTTAACTGTTCTTATGATAATGTCTCGCCTAACACCGCCCTTGTAACTGAACTTGTGATCTTACTCTGTAACACCCCCGCCCCACAAAAAACTACCCCAACATATAAAGCCAATTCCCAACTTAGCCCCTTCAAACAACCTTTTCCTTTCTTGGATTCGGCTCGCTTGCACCCAAGCGATAAATAAAACGGCCTTGTTGCCCACACAAAGCCTGTTTGAAAGATCTCTTCATTAAATGCACTTAATATTCGGTACTATTGGACGTGAATAACATTAAGAAATTACCTGTGCTAACCGATTAATGAATGTGGGTTTTTCTTAACCATGAAACTTATAAAAGTCTTCTCTCAAACCCACTCCTATGTACCACAAACTGCAAATCATAGCTGGGCGCTCTACAATTTTTTGAATCACTGTTTAAATAATTTGATGTTTTTGCGGCGACTCCAATAAATTTTTCACAAAGGAGTGACCAAAAGCTCTTCCGATTCATGAACCTCGCACCCCGAGTCAGGATTCTCCCCTGACGACCCTTCAGTGGTCCCTGCACAACCGAGGAGAGATGTGGCGCGGTGGGTGCCGAGCTGCCCAAAGCGGGCTCCAGGCCACTTTGTAGGCAAGAGAGAGACAGGACGCCCGGGGTCCCGCCTGTCCGCCCAGCCGCCATCTTAACGCTGAAGGAGACTGAAGGCCGAGCTGCGAAAAGGTGAACTCGACCTCAGGATTTTGGAGCTGAGTCCGGGGGCCTGAGTCCCGCTACCACCACTTCCGACCGCTTCCAACCAGCCTCTTCCCCGTCTCTCGAGATGTCGGATCCCGCTCTCTCACCATTTCGAGGTTTCCAGCGGCTCCTGGCGTCTCAGCTGTGGATCTCTCAATACCCGAAGGTCACAGGGCCACACAGACTGGATCTCCAGGAGTGCATGACACAGAGCACCGAAGACGAGACCCGGAACTCAGGCTGCAGGAAGAGACAAAGAACCTGCCAAATCCGGAAGCCGTCCTGTATACTTTCCAACTATTGGACGGTTTCTGCAGTCTCTGACTAGATAATGCTTAAGTTCCGCCCCTTTAGTGCCGCCCCCTTTAGTCCCTGAGTGACAGAAGATTTGACCAAACACTGGGCGAATGAAGAAAGAGTGACAGCCTGGGCTGCAACTTTTTCAGGCAGAGCTTCCTCGCTGAGCTGAGCCAGGACCAACCAGGAGGGTATTTGCATTTAACCTTGTGTATAAGGTGATACGCATTTATAAATAACATATTATATGACTATTCACAAATAGAAAGAATCTAATAACGATTTAACAATTTCAGATTTTATAAACTTCCTGACTTCTGGTCCTTTGAGCAGGCAGCTTAAGATTTTAAAAAAGGAGGCAATCCTCTGATATAAAACGTGAGCCAAATGTGAATTTTAAAATTTCTATTAGCCAAACTTTTTTATTTTATTTTATTTTATTTTTATTCATTTAATTTTTTGAGACTGAGTCTCGCTCTATCACCCAGGCTGAGTGCAGTGGCACAATCTCGGCTCATTGCAACCTCCATATCCAGGGTTCAAGTGATTTTCTTGACTCAGCCTCCTAAGTAGCTAGGATTACAGGCTCACGTTCACCACACCCGGCTAATTTCTTTTGTATTTTTAGTAGAGACGGATTTTCACCATGTTAACCAGGCTGATCTTAAACTTCTGACCTCAGTTGATGGCCCCCACTCAAAAGTGCAGGGATTACAGGCGTGAGTCACCTACTCGGCCTTATGCAGCATTTTAGAAATAAAACCTTCCTGTGGTTTCATTTCTAGGCAGACTTCATATTGATAGTGTTTTGATTTTTTTTTTTTTTTTTTGGAAGCCTCTTTGAGGGAGAATTTGTGATTGCATTAAAAGGTGAGTTGGGTGCCAGATACACAACCAGTTTGCTTTATTTTCATTGTGGGGGTGCTATTCCTAGAGCAGCCATAGCGTGCTGTGAAAAGTGAAGCTTGGTAGTGTCCCTCCCTGACTGTATTATTTTGTTCTGCAGCTGTGTACAGTGCTGAGAAAACCTCGAGCCATGTTGATTGTTTCTGGTCAATACCCATTGCTGCTGACTACCTGTGACTCTTGATTTTTACAGGATCTCCATTACACTCATAATACATGCTATCTTATTGCTACCCAGTTCTGGGAGATAACTGGTTCAGACTTAGAACACCACAGAGTTTCTGGAGAACGTTTATTGCATATGGGGTAAAATGTTGTAGCAATTTTAGAGTTCTGTCCTGTGTCATTTTAATAGCTACCTCTATAGCAAGATTCTACACACAGTTAATTTGTTATTGTTTTAAAAAGCCAGTGTTAGATTTGCATATATTGTCAACAAGAAATTTAACATGATTAATATAAAATCTTATACTTTTAAAATATTGGGATACTGACGAGAATATTTTGTATTAACATTAGACTTGACATGTTATTATAACATGTATCTTCAAAATTAAATTTTAAAGCATTTTGCAAGGATTATGCTGTGATTTGTTACTATGCTAGATATTACAGTGAATGGGGAGGATTTGGGGGTTTAAAGTTTCTGATTGCATTTGATTAGTATGTTTCTAATTTCCCATTTTCAAAATGTCTTCCAAGGTATATGTTTAACTTCTTTATATCGAGTTACATAAAATCAAGTAAAACCTTTCATTATGTCTTCATTATGTCTTACTTAACTAATGAAAAAAAGGGGTTTATTTTAGTATGTATCATTTTGTTCTATATTGGAGGCTTCATATATTTTATTAGTATTATATTGTTTTAATTTTGATTATTTCCCATGTATTTCCTAATCCGTAATTAGCATTAATACAAATTATTGTACCCTAACTATTGACAGAAATTACAGCACTTCAAAATGAGCTCAAAGATTTTAAGAAAGAGGCTTTATTCTGTTGGTGGGATGAATAATATGTACATGTTTCTTAAAGTTAGTTTAAATAGTTGAGTGTATTTTAATGCCACTTAGCTCAAAAAAAAGGGCAATTAATGCTTGTGTTGGACAGTTTTATAGAAAACATAGGTCACAAGTTAGACTAATATGGTTGTTGCTTTTTAGTAAAGTCATATAGAGTTTTCATTAGAACAAAATTTTCTTTAGCAAACCCTACTTTCAATAAATTCAGACTTTGGGGACTGTAATAGAGCTAATTTCTTCTTATTAGTATATGTTCAACTTAATGAAAACATCTACTATGCCACTGACAGCAATATGTTCAAATGATTAGATCACACCTTTAAAGTGTTTAAAATTTGACAATTTATATCAGTGAATTTTGTGATTTGAAAAAAGAAAGAGAAAAGAATCTTGCTTTAAAACTGTCATGTTATCAAACTACCAACACTCTTCAAAAGCATTTTGAAACGTTCATTCCTTTGTTCTAGTTTATGAATTTAGTTTTGATATTTTATGAAACTTTAGTAGGTAGATTTTATGTTTGAGGAATACATAGTTTTCTAAATGTTTGCTTTTTAAAATGTCAAGCCGTTATAAAATGATAATTTTAAAATTAAAACTTTTGCAAGGGTGGCTTTAGAGGGTGGGGTGGTACATAGTGTAGCCTTTGTGGGTTGATCTGTACAGTGGACTCATCTGTACACTTTGTGGGTTGATATGTATGACAGATCTGTACAGAACCCCATAAAGCAAAGTTTCCCCTAATTTGAATCTAGTTGTTTCTCAGCTCAATTACTTTCAATTTATGTCCACTTAATGTGAATAGAACCCAATTACAGAAAAAAAAAAAAAAAGGAAAGGTATTCTACTTCTCATCCTTGCAAACTAGTGTTGTTTTTTTAAGTTATAAAATTTAATCTTCTCTCGTCAGTTTTTATGCCAAACCCATGATGTTTTAATACACAGGATGCCACTAAACCTCTCTAAGTATCAAGTAGAGGTCTTTTTAAAAACAAGGTGCTTAAGCTTAGGCAGCAGTTCAGTAATCTTTGAAGAAACAAAGGTTACAAAGACCCCATTCCTACAATTTCTTTCTAAATTAGCTAGGTGTAGTGGTGCATGCCTTTATTCCTAGCTACTAGAGAGGCTGATGTTGGAGGATTACTTAAGCCCAGGAATTCGAGGCTGTAGTGAGTCATGGTGTCACCACTGTATTTCAGCCTAGACAACAGAGCCAGCCACTGTCTCAAAAAATAAAAATAAAAAATACAGGGTGAATGTGTGACAAATCATTATCTATAGGTAGATGAGAAACCAGCAAAAAGACTTCAAAGGAGCAATAGGAGGAGAAAAACAAGAAGAGGGTGGTGTCCTAGACGCAGGTAAAGTTGACTGTACCTTTTTCTGGAACTCACTGGAAAAACTCCATGACCATCAACACATGATCAGCTAAAATAACCCAATTGCAGAATCGGAGAAAAAATCCAAGTTGCTGGAATCACATTTACAGATGTCCTCAAATATGTTACATGGCCGGGTAACAGGCTCTTGCAGGCGCTCCACATATATATCCTTCCTAAATTTGTAAACTGCAGAGATCTCTGAATCAAATCTTCTCTACTTAAAACTTTAGTTCTCAAGTGAAAGAACAGTCAATTGAATACTTTGTAAAGTTTTTAATAAAATAATTTTTAAACAATTTTTTTTGACAAAAACAGGAAGGGCAACTATCACCCCACATCCCTAAGTGGAATAGGAAGACTTGGAAAAGCACACGAAGAGGGAAGGACTTGTAGCAGCTGCTGAGAAAGATCAGACTTGTAGCAGCTTGAAAGATCAGAACATGAGGTTCAGACATGTAGCAGCTTCTGAGAAAGATCTCACTCCAAGGGCAAGTTCAAGTCCATGGGTGAAATAGCTAGGATGCTCCCCTGGAAGGGAAAAGCGGCAGAGCCCTGTGAGGAGGGGAGAGATCTCCCCCTCCACAACAGCATCTTATATCAACACAGTGAGATCAGAGATGGGATGGCAAGGAACCAGAGAGCAGAAGGCGATAGACACCCAGAGAAGGAGACAGAGACCCAGAGACAGGGGCACAGGAATGAGCTGGGACAAAGTCCTAGAGGGAGGAGGAAAGACAGAGCCCAAGGAGGATCAGGACACTCAACAGGGGTTAGACAGAGACCCAGAGAGAGTGAAGAGTGAGGGCACAGAGTCAGAGAAGGGGAAGAGGGTCCTGGGATGTGAATGATTCAGGGCTGTGGCTTGTGTGCAAATTCTGATTTTAACACTCTGCATGATGGAGACTTTCTAACCCAACAAGGCAAAGATAATAACAGAGCCCCATGAAGTTGCAGTGGGGGCTGAATGGGATCATTCTATTGAAATCTCTGGCAGAGGATGTGACCCACCAGGAAAGCTCACCTACTATTTGTCCTATGACTAGATGTTGAAGAAGGCCACCAGGGCATGCACGTAGTCATTGTGCGCTTCACTTGCAGGCAGAAGCGGGACATGAAGGTCTGGCCTTCCACCTTGACAGTGTATATGTCCACCTCCTGCAGGACATAAGCAGGGAAGTTCCGGGATGTGTCTCCACCCCACTTCATCTGCTTCTCCCCTCACTCTCCAGCTCCTGGAGGGCCCGTGACCTTGCTGTCCCCTTACTGCTTGTTCTCACCCATTGGTTCCTGGCCTCAGCCCCCCATTCATTTCTCATTCTGCACATCTGGCTCCTACCAACCTACCCCAAGTTCACGCCTGTATTCCTTGTTCCCTTCTTTCCCACACCCAAACCTGGCAGCTCCACCCTAACTCTGTCCAGTGCCCACTCCTGCCCTGCCACCTGGCCAGACTTCACTCAAATGCAGGTGCCCTGCATTGCTGTCTGTCCAAGCTTTTCTTGAAAAGTCCACCAATGCCGTGACCTCAAACATTGACCCAAATGCTGACCTAAAACCTGTGTTCTCAGGAGGGTGGCTTGGGTGGGTTTCCTGCCCTTCCAGCCTCCTCTCTGCCCCTCAACAACTTCTTC